AAAAAATATAGACCAATGTAGGCCTATAAAAGTTTTTTAAAATGCACAGAAAATTGACGTAGCCAGCCCGATACCGGTACTAGTAATACTGAGGGTAATTTGCAATTAAAATTTTTTTTTTTAAAAGTTTCATTCGGATATCTTGATTCTAGATGTGTTTCGGAAAATAACAAGCGGGGATATGGAATAAGGAGCGGGGGGCAAAAAGACTGAAAATTAATAAGGGGGGGGGGGGGGGGGGGGGGGGAGGGGGCACTTATTGGATACCTTAGAGTAGTGTGTACTTCTGGCAGCCAGTTTACAGGGGGCGTGGCAGGGCAAGTTTACATACATTAGTTTGATAAGGACTGTGTATACAACTTCGACTGTTGTGAGCAGAAGGGGGTATAAAGGGTTAAATAGTATACATGTAACAATAAGTACCGGTAATAAAGTGGTATCCAAAAAATGAAACTTGAAAATGTATTCACCCAGTTATTTGAATTGCCCTTTTTCTGTTGGTGGGTGTTCTGGTGTGGTTTTCTCCTTCTTTTCTATCAAATATGTCATCCTTATCACTTCTCCTTTTTTTTGTAATGTATGTTACTCTATTCCAGCACCTCTAATTCTAATCTTCTGCATTTGCAAGTTATACGACTTATATTTGTGTGACTACTGTTACAAGAGTCTTAAAACTCCTCTTAACTCAAAACAAATAAATGTTTCTCTGGTATTTTGGCCGGGGATTGTTGTGTTTTTTACTTTTAATTAAAATTTAATTGGCTTGCATTGTGTGGAGTATTGCTTTTTTTTTTTTCTCCAAAAAAATAGTAAAAACCTTCCTCTGCTTCATTGTCCTTGCCATACTGTGATATTATTAGGTGAAGCAGCTGCCTATATATTATATTACTAGTTTTGCAGCTGTTTCAAAATTTAACAAATTAAAAGTAAGGGGTGGCTGATCGATGAGATAATCATAAAAAGTCAAGAGAGAGGTAAATAATAATTTTTTTTAAAATATCTACTCTTTTAAAAATTTTTAGGAGAGAAATTAAAAATACACATGTAGATGTTGAGTATGTTTGAAAATGAGTGCTATTTATTTTTTGGGTTGTTTCTTTTTTTAAACTGCTTTAAAAATTTCGTTTTTCTCGTTTTTCCAATTATTCTTGAGCATTTTTTATTCGTACTTGTGTATGTTTGTGAGTATAGTATTAGTATGAATTTCCTAACTGTTGGTATTTTTCCTTGGTCTTAGCCCATTGACCAACCAACACTTTTTTTCAAACGCTTCTATTCTGTTCTGCTTCTCGTCTTTTTATTTTCAACTGTTGACAAAGTTACTGTCGTTTTTTTTTTTTATTTGATCAGTTTCCCTAGTCTTAGCTGTTGGCTTCTGCCCGCATTTACGTTCATAAAGGATAACCCCCCTCCATCTAACTTTAAACAGAATTAATCTAATATTATTATTGTATTTCTTTATTATTAGCTTGTATTGTGAAGTTACAATGTCTTGAAATAAATTAATAAAGTTTTTTCAATAAGATACGCCTTTGTTTCAGTGTGTCATTAATATTATTTTAGTTATTTATCAGAGATGCCGATTTTCTGAATAAATCAGGAAATCATAATTTCTGAAATCATTCAGATTGACTCGTCATTCATATGTCATGTATTGCATGTTTTTTCAATGCATTTGTGGGAGTAGAAGTTTCATTCCCCCACCGACACTTTATTAACATCATTTAGGAGGCGGGCTAACAACCCTACCTGTCAGGACCAACCAGGGCTGAGAGGGATACAGCATCACATTCCAGCAAAAAATTCTCGGTTTTAGTAAGAGTTTAACGGCGCTTGCAACACAATAAGTAGGTCATATAAGGAAGTGCCGAAGATTAGAGAAAAAATGGTATGGGTTTAACACAACACTATTAGGTTATTTAAGGGGCGGGACCTCCTAGTTTAACGTTCGTCTCAAATAGGACCAAGCCAAGTGGGAAGTTCGTTTAAAGTGCCCTTCCCAAGGACACAACGTCGGACCGAGCTGAGGCTCGAACCTCCGAACCCGCAATCTCACGATTACGAGTCAAAAAAAGGCTACCGACGCCACGAAGATGAGAGGTGTTACAAGAGAGAGAGTAACAAACATTAAAAAGAAGTGAGTGATAGTGAAGAGCCTAACCAGTACACCACTGACACCTGTCGCATATTTTTATCAAAAGTCTTGATACAAGACTGTAACAGTAAGTGTGTGCCTGTAGGGAAAGATCCCAGTTGTCCGCAAAGCTTCTTTGAAAAAAGGGGCGAAAAGGCCAACATAGTCATGCTTGGTCAAAAATTTAGTTCCATCATAAAAACACATTTGACCATTTCTTAATAATAATATCAACATATTATATATTGAAAGGATTTTATATTTTGTCTAAAACTTTTTTTACTTATTATTTTTAAAACATTCTGTACTTTACCAAAGATGAAAAATGTGCTGGGAATTGGTTTTTTCTTACTCTGTTTTTACACCCTGGGTTTACAAAATGAGGCATACTACAGCTACTCCCAAGATATTTGAGAAATTTAAAAACCAGCGTGTTCAGCATTCAATTAACTATAACTATAAAAATATGCCCTTCTTCAATATATTCAAAATTTCTGACAACTAGGACCTTTCTCTAGGTACACACACATAAAACTAGATCTGGAAATCGTAAAAATATTCTTACTTTTGAGTAACATTTGTATTTCTCTTCTTAGGATATTTCACTAGAGCTCTTGGAGAGCTCTGCTTAAATTTTATGGAAGACCTCTGCTCTTATTAGTGTACAGTCAAACACCATTTCACAGCCTACCTATGGACGAGTGTGAAGTTGGCAGTATAATAAGATCACAGGATGGTACTTTTTCTTGCTTTTTTTTTTTCAACAGTAAGAATTTAAATTTCAAAAAAATATTTCTTGAGCATACATGTATTATTAATAATAATAATAAATAGCATTTGTATAGCACATGTCCCCACTCGAAAGCAAGCTCTATGCACTTTACACTACTACATTATATTATTATTATTACCCAAGCAGAGCAAAGAACACTCAGAAACATTCTCAGCTTCCCCGGAAGCATACAGTGCAAGCAGCTGGTTAAGCGCTAAATTACAAACAAACTGACAAGATCTTTCACCGTCTATAGCAGGGTCCCCATTCCCACCCTGGTGAAGAGATGAAAATACGTGTAAAGTGCCTTTCCCAAAGAAACAACGCCGGGCCCGTGGCTCGAAGCCCCGAACTCGCAACCTCACGATTTCGAGTCCGGTAGCCTAACCACTAGGCCACCGACGCCACATATATGCAACCACCTACTATTACTACTACATGTAATAATACTAAGGTGTTGTAAGGTAACTGAACTCACTGCCAGAAACTATTGCATATAAAATTGCTTTTCGTTAGTTGAGCGACTTTTGCAATACAAGCTCAAAGAATAAGTGTTGCTCCAGAGAAACATAGCAGTTTTTTTGGGGGGTTTTTGTTTGTTTTATGGTGCTCGCAGCAGAGACGAGTGGCTCAACAGAAGGGCCAACCCAGAAACAGGAAGATCTCTCTTCGGGTACATACATGGACAAACCCAACCCCAAAGACCCTTCGGATCTCTTACATGAGCCGATCAGAATCTTCAAAGCCCGCACAGGACACTTACACACCAACAAGCACATAAACAGAATTAACTCCATACCGGAACCCCATTGCAGACACTGTGACTACATTGTACCAGGAGGAGACCGTTTAACATCTCCTTCACTGCCCAAACCTGGCAGTTCTTCGACGCAGGCTCCTACACACTTACAAAGCCTGCTCTACTCTGGCGTTGACCAGATGACAAGGGCATGTGGTTACTTGAGGGAGGCATTGCGCTGCCAAGAGCGAAATGCTCGCAGCTAAAGGGATTTGAATTTGAAAACGACATGGCGCTTGCAACTGCATAAGGTCATATGAGCGCGCTGGACACATTGTCATTTAACATTTTCAGTTGGTAGGAAATTTTGAATTTTGCCCACGTGGCGCCATAAGCTTACTCTTACTCTTCTGATCGATTTTGGACCATCAAAGGATCTTTAATTAATGTGCGCAAGTTGCACACGGGAGCTCAAAGTTTTTTTCCCCTTATCCGAGAAGGCTGGGTGTTAGTGTGAGATCTTATCTACTTTAAGGTATCGAATAAATGGGGGGAGAGGAGGTTGGACAAGTGGTCCAAAATTAATAAACGTGGGGGTGGGGTGGCGGCACATTCAACCTTATACACCTGTACTAGTAGGAAGAAATTTGTTTTATTTCTCGTTCAGTGAATAAAAGAAAGAGATCATGAAATTTTAGTGATTTTACTAAGTTACTGTGATAATTTTTCCCATTTAGGAACAAACCACTTTCATTAAAAAATATAAACCAATGTAGATCTAGAAAAGTTTTTAAAATGCACAGAAAATTGAGGTAGGGAACCCGGTACCGGTACCAATACTGAACACTGAGGGTAATTTGCCATTTTAATTACAAAAAAAAAAAAAAAAGAAGTTTCATTCAGATCTAGGTTCGACATTATAATCATATGTTTCACATAATCGTTGGTCGTAATAAATGAGAGGGTATGGAATAAGGAGCGTTGGTGCACAAAAAAACCCCTGAAAATTAATAAGAGGGGGATGCTCATTCGATACCTTAGAGTAAAGTTAGAGTACCATAAGAACAGGAATGTGGCTGACAGAAAGCAATAAATAAAAAGGAGCCAAGGAGTAGCAGTAGAAGTAGAAAGAAGGCAACAGAATGAGTCAGGAGCTCAGAGGAGCAGAAATTTGAGACGAAAGCAGACGACAGAACATTGTAAGAGAAAGGAGGAAAGGAAGTGAAAGGAGAAAATTTTAGAAAGGACAATTCTCCATCGCTGTCCGGTTTTGAATTCGGGACCTACTGAAAGAGAGGTCTGAAAACAAAACAATCGCCAAAATCCAACTGACAAAGAAGGGAAACAAGAGAGGATAAAAATGAATACAAACTTTTAATGATGATGTATATGCAAATGAACATGGCAATAAACAAAAAAATGAGCATTTTTCCACTTTACAATCATGTAACATGTGCATAAACAAGATCCAAGAAAGCACAGTTAAAAAAGACAAAAAACAAACGAACAACGGTGAATGATATCTGCTGATCCGCATTGTCTAAAATCAATAACCCATTAATACAACCCCGTCCAACACCTAAAAGCACCGATTCCTAAATTACCCTCTGGGTAAATTTTCTGATATTAATTTAAGAAAATCCAAAAACTGAGCCGAAACAATTGTGACGAGATCGACTCGACCAAAAGTCCACTGAGCCCGCGTTCTACTCAAATGCATGATCAAAAGTGCTCCAACATAGCAATACATTGGAACCCACATCCACAATGCACATATATGGAAAAGTAGCCAACTGTTTTCCACAAGCCCTCTAAATTTTGTCTTCCTCATAATTAAGGGGCTTTTTTATGGCCCTATTAACACAATTTAGATCATTTAGGAGGCAGGCTTCCTACCCTGCATGTCAGGGAGGACTACAACATCCCAGCAGAAAGACCGAAACACTCATAAAAATTCTCCCTGCTCGGGAATTGAATTCAGATCTCCTGCATGGGACAGCGTTGAAGTAAACCGCAACACCACAAACTCCAGTCTCAAGCCCTCAGAGAGCAAGGGGAACGATTATACCTTGGCAAAGAGGTTCCAGTAGCTAGAGAGCCATTTCCCAACAGTCAGCTTCAGCCATACAAAATGTAGAAATGTAGATAATGAGTGGAGAAAATGCGCCGCTACTTTCTTCCTTTCATGTGATGCCTGGTATAGGTTTAACACTAAAGCCCATTCAATACTGCAAGGTCTCCAAAGAGATCAGACCTCAAATTTAATCACTTCCATCTCCGTGGAATATTATTTTAAAAAAAATTTTTTTTTTAACCAAAAAAACTTGAGAACACCCCAGACTAGTAAGTTTAAGAATGCCTTAATGGGAACTTGGAACCACAATAATCTGCACTGCAGCCCAACATAACAGTAGCCCCTTCATGTCAAACAGAAATTCCAGCAAGCAGGTGGTGATGCCCCATATTCCCTTTCCCTTTTCTGCACGTTAAGATCTATGCATTAGGATAAGAGCAAGAACTTTAAAGTAATAAAATGAAAGTTAAACAAATTAGCTAAAACAAAGAACTCTCAAAATGTAGGCTACCTTAAATGCGTTTTCCTTCTGCTGTACCATACACCTCATTCATATCCCTCCCTCTCCCTCCCATCCCGGTTAATTAAAAAATAAAAAACAAAAAAACCTTCTCATGGCTTAATAACTCAATCACTGATAAGACTCAAATTTCATTTCCAACAAGTAAGAAGAAGTGTGAAACTTCTCTGCTAACAACAGAACATTATTAAAAATGCATATTCCCAAAATTCTCAAACATCATGCAGTGCAAAAAGAAAAAAAGGCAGAAATCTAGCAGTTATGAGGTTCATATGAGTGAAAAGATACACATCGACATGAAAACAGACACTGAGTGCAGGGAAAAAGCAAGATAGGCAGGCAGACAGACAGAAGCAACAGAGAAAAGGAAAAGCAGGACCTACCAGGCACCCCCTCCCCTTCCAAATCCAAACATCGAATCTGAGGGGAAAGTAGCTCATTTTCACTCTTTATAGCTTAATTCCCATTACAGACAATCCAACAGTTGTCGCAATCTTAAAAGTAAAAATGGGCTGAGGTCAGGAGATATTTTATTTAACCAACTGGAGAGAACGATTCATGGCCAGGAAATGTTTTGATTTTCGAATTTCACAAAATAGGCAATAAAACGACAAGTCTTCAATTCCAGTCCAAGTAACGGTAAGAAAATTGATATTAAACACGAGATGGTTCACATGGCTGAAAAAGAAAAAAAGAAAAACAAAAAAAAAGACCAGGCAAACAACACTGCAAGATGTTCTATAGAGGCATATTTGATACACCTGAGCGCACAGAAAAACAAAACAGATTTCTAAAAAAAATATATATCAACAAACAAACGAAACAGCAGCATGAAAAGTGGCTGTAACACTCGACCAGCATCTAAGAACACATGACAAGGCTTTACAACTGAACTCAGCTCTCTACACTCCCCCCCCATCGCACACGGCATACTGCTAGGGTCTCTTCCCATAAACCCTGTCAGCACAAGAAGCCGTTTCCCTCGAGGCGAAAAAAGTTCCAATTGCACGCTGTGACCTAATTCCACAAAGAGAGAGAGACAGGGTGAACAAGAACGAGTCACACAATCTAAGCTTTGACCGAACGTCTACAGTCAAAATAGTAAAGTACTCCGAGGGCCTCCCATGCCAAATGAGGTCACAGCATGCAGGCAAACTTTCGAACCCGTCCAAAAAAAAAAAAAAAAAAAAAAAAATTCCTATCGGGAGCACATCATTTAACCTAAGTAAAAACACCATCAGCAGACGACAGGAACTCAGTGCTCAACCCCCTGGCCTAGGTGCCGGAATCTCTCCCCCGACTCTTCTACCTCATCTTGTAGTTCAGGCTACACGACGCCTCAGACAGCTCTCCCTTGAAGTCAAGACTGATTTTGAAGTCCAAGTCCCTCTGCAAATAGAGAATAAACAAGATCAGTAAAACAAAAAACATGTCGCAATGGAGTCAGCACAGTAGGAACTTCAGGGGCTCAACAGACTGCAATAGAACACATTAACCAGACCAAGCTGGCTCAAAGATACCCAATTATTCACACCACAAACATCATCTTCTACAGCAATAGGTGGTAAAAATAACCAAACAGCGCTATGCAATAGGTAGATGTGCACTGATTTAGCCTGAAATCCGCCAGTGTCAGGATGTGCATCACTTTTACAATCCTTGCCCAACCACCAACCCACTCTAATCCCTGTCCCTAACTGCATGAAGTCACCCCCCCCCCCCCCCCCAACACACACCGCCAAAGATAAGATATGTAGCTTGTGATTTTTTAATTTTCTGAGGATGACTGGTCAAAATAATAATTGAGGAAGAAGAGTAAAAAATATTTTTTTAAACTATGCTACTAGAAGACAAAAAACACTGAAATAGACGAAAAAAGGGAGGTCACAGAGGGAGAGAAAGAAAGAGAGGAAGAGAAAAGAAGAGAAGAGAGAAGGGAAGGGAAGAGAAAAAGAGAACCTCAACCACTTACATTGTTCATTTTGTTTGGAGTCATGCTGATGACACCGTCCACCTCTTCTCCTTTCTTGATGGTCAGATCGTTGTCTCCGAGGTAAAATACTGTCTGCTTCCAGTGGGTGTAAGGAGCGTCGGGAGCTGAGAAGTGATGAGTTTTCGTTTAAGTAGAAGTTTTTACATTACTCGCAACACCAATAGGTCATATATATATAAGTGTTGAAGATAAGATGTGTTACTGGAAAGTAACATGCAAAGAAAAAGAGGAAAACACACTCATTAGCATTGTATGACTGCTTAAAATATGGACAATACTTGAAATATTGACAATACTGAAGAACAAAAATTTACTCGGAAGTACTAGAGCCAAAGGTTGAGGAATAATTTTAATCCAAGTATTCTAGTCACTTTTGTGACCAGCTGCTATGCCTAGTTCAATATATTTTGGAACCCCCATAGAAACGAACTTCTTCATTTTTTGAAGCTTGACAATGTGTAAGTTCAACTTAAAATTGAGAAACACCATGCCAGGTCTAAAAATTACTAGTTTGTAACTCACACAACCAAGAGGGAACCCCCCCCCCCCCCCCCCCCCAAAAAAAAACCAACAACACCCAAAACAACAACAAACAAAAACCCTAAAATCTAAAACTAATGCATTACAGAACACTACTACTAAATTGAATATAGGCATTAAATAGGCCTTTCCTTTCCTAAACTGCCGAGACCAATCACGGGTAGGTAAAGAGTGTAAAACCAACGAGCAAATAGAAACTGACTTCTAAGCAGACAGCGAGTTAAAAATACACTTTACACTTTTAATGTACTGGGTCAGCGGCCATGCAATCCTCTCAAACAAAGGTAATAATCCTCAACTTACATGTGGAGAAACCAGTGCGCTTGTGGCATTTTGTGAACTCAATGTTGAAGAACGTAACCAATGCATGGAGGTAGTCATTGCGGCGACAGGTCAGGTGAAACGGAGTGCTGAAGGCGATGTCTCCTTCCTTCACTGTGTAAATATCCACTTCCTGCAACACAGCATACAAGAATGCAATAAATAAGAAGGGGCATTCATGCCATTTACAGTACAAATGCAACAATATGGGTCAACCCTTATAAAATTGCCCGAAAATAAATTTTGAAAAAACAAAAAATTTGCTGAAACAGAACTTCAAATGCAACATTCACAAGGGTTCCCACTCATCAAGGAGACCAAATTTCCTGATTTTTCTCATAAATTTTGAACCATTTTCCAACATACTTAAAAAAAAAAAAGATGATAGAGTGAGGAAGAAGAAATGAAGAGAAATATGAAATAAGGGCTGAACTAAATTGTACTGGGCAATTAGCAGCGTGGCCAGGAAAAGGCCTCAGCAGTGTGGAAATTGGCGGCGGTGGGTTATTTTCATTCACAAAGTTTCACAGGGCTGCTGCTCACCCACCAGCAAATGGTTTAGTAATCACACACACACACAAAAAAGTAATCTGGCGTGGTGAAAGAGGTCTCGTTTAATTTATGAGTGGGAGCCCCCCCCCCCCCGTTTGATTGGGAACCCTGATTCGCAGAAAGTCTACGAACGCAGAACACTTTCTTTAAAAAACTATCAAAAACAAAAAACAACACACAATTAAATAAAACAAGCAAACAAGAAAAGAGCTTGGCATACCTTGACCAGGAAAGAATTAGTGACCACCTGCTTGGGGTCCACTACATCTACCAATGGCTCTCTTACAGCCACATCTCGTATACAGCTCATGTCAAAGCCGTAGACATTGTCCCACCCTGGGAATGGAAGGAAGAAGGAATCAATCGACAATCAACAAATGTATGGAGCATCATCATTGTGTGTGTGTGTGTGAGCGTGTATCCACTTGTCTACTCAACAAAGGGGGGGGGGGGGTGCGTGTATGGTGGTGGCAGGTATAGGTTCAACACTTTGCCCACACGGGACGCCGATTGGCTACGGTAAGAAACCGTACCTTTTCCCCACGGGACGCCGATCAGCAACGGTGTGATACAGTACGTACCGCATCTGAGGCCTGGTCCGTGGGGATAACAGTTGCGCACTCTGCGGGCAGATTTTACTCAAAATCCTGACTGAATTGACATTGGACATTGACGAAGATTTGGATCTAATTTTTTAAGTTGGGTAGTAAAGACCACAAAGGAAAAAAAAAATCAACGCAAGACAGCACCCGAGCTGATCAGTGGATCATTCTTGAACACTCAGAATGAGGAAATAAGGCCTAGAAACATTGACAAGCCATTCGAATTAAAAATTAATTCTACAATCCATCTTTTGCACTTTGTCTCAAATTTTGATTATGCCTTGTTCTTTTTCAAGACATCCTTACTTTCCAATGTTTAATTAATACAGACTGGTGCCCCTTCTCTATGGCAAAAGGAGGGGTTTTTTAAAACCAAAACGGGCTTTTCGGGGTACGAGTTCTGCAGCCTCCACAGAAAACAGCAAAATTCAAAGCAAATGTTTTCAGCACAAGGCATCACCCGCGGGGGGAGCCGCTGATGGCTGAGGATGTTTATATTGAGCACCTTATTCTTTAGGCACTTTCTGCTCAATGTTTCATCTCAAATATAGTCGAAATTGTGAGAAATGGCCGAAATGGCCACCCATTTTGAAGAGAATAATGGTTGTCTTTGACAGATACATGTCTTGGACAGTGCCCTTACAATAATAAAAAGAAAATAACAAGCAGGTAAGTGTTAAGTGCTTATTTCTACAGGTTATTCTCTTAAACAGGTGGCCGTTAAAGCAGGTCCCATGGTACAACTTACAATTAATTTTCTCATCCTTGTACTGTCTGTCTTCAATAGCAGTCACATACAATGTAGCCCTGTCTGGGAAAATCAAGCCATCTGGTCTCTGTTGAGCAAATGAAACAAAAAAAAACTGAGAATCCGAATGAGAGAAGGCCCTGTTAGAGGACAGATGTTTAGGTAACCAATAAGCTGATGGTAATAATCTCTGAAAAACATTTTCATTGACTCAGGACGCACTGGGCTTCCTTTAATGAGAATGGATAATATTTAATTTATTTGAAGTGTTTGAGAATATCTAGAACAAGGGCACACATCAAAGAGGAGCATTCGCATGCTGCAGCAATTGCACAAAGCAACACTGAGGGAGTGGACAAATACGGCCCCACATTTGGCCATCCCCAATATTGGCGCTCATATGACCTTATGCAGTTGCGAGTGCTGTAAAACCTCTACTAAAACTAAAAACATCCCCAATAACATTGTAATACTTTTTAAGAACCTCACAAATTGTACAAGCAATTAAGACAATTTTTAAAAAAAGCTGGTTCAACCTTTATAGAGCTAGCGTCTACTTTTGCTATGTTAGAGGTAAAAACTTTCCTACTGCACACCGTGTTTCCCAGTCAAGCATGAAGTAACACTTATCACTATCACAAATGTTTCTGTACCACGCCCCACCAATGTTACCCCATCAACCACTTGTGTGCGATGTTGCTCATGCTGGCAAGCATTGAGAGAGGGAGAGGGAGAGAGAGGGAGAGAGAGAGAGAGAGAGAGAGAGAGAGAGAGAGAGGGGGGGGGGCGCCACGATGACGACACAGACAGAGCGTGAGAGAGAAACAGAGAGTGAAAACGAGTGAATATTGAGAGAGAGAGAGAGGGGGGGGGGGACACACAGACGGAGTGTGAGAGAGAAACAGAGAGCGAAAACGAGAGAGAGAGAGAGAGAGAAGAGGAGAGGAGAGAGAGAAAGGAGAGGAGAGAGCACTCACCAGCCATTTGTCGCGGGCAAAGATGACTGTGTTCAACATGGACTCGTAGAAAAGACAGTAGCCCATCCACTCCGAGATGATAATATCCACCTTGTCAACATCAGCTGGAAGGGTGACCTCCTCCACTTTTCCACGGACTAGACTGATAACTGTGGACAAATCACCAACAAGTGGCACAAATTATACACCGAAGACAATGGGACCCACGAGAGCATAAGCTTGAAATAATGGCAATGATGTGAGTGCATGTTAAAATATTGTAAACAAAAAATCTAAAATAATAACTTTTTAAAAAATCTGTAGTTTCTGGAAAGAAAACAGGAGAGGAAAAGAAAAAAAAAAAAAAAAAAAAAAGTTATAAAAAGGCATGGAACCTGAGCATAATTTATGCTAACAGATAATTCGAAAATAAGTAGGGATGTGCATTTGTCCACACTGCATTTATTTACTGCTGTTATACCTCAGCTGTTCCTGAATCCCTTGACAAGTAAAAAAAAAAAGCGCTCTCTGCATTCCTGATGCCAGTATATATTTATGTTGTTCTTCCTAAGATACGTCACATGTGTTACGTTGTTTTTCACAAAAATACACCACTTGTAATGCTGTTCTTCCTCAAATACATCACATGTTATGTGGGGGCACTCGTGCGATAAGGTTAAGGTGTTCGCCTCTCATTCAAAGGTCCCAGGTTCGAATCTGGGTAGCGACCAAAAAATTTTCTTCTTTCCTGCTCTCTAGCAATATTGTTGCCCGCCTTCATCTCCACTTTCTGCCCCCACCCCCTCACCTCCTTTGCTCCCCCCCTATGTGCAAGTTGTGCACGTTAAAGATCCCTTGGTGGTCTAAAATCAATAAGAGTAGACTTCAGCCGCCACCAAGGCAAATTCAAAATATCCTACCAACTGACATTGTTTAATGTGCCCTGCGCGCTCATATGACCGTATGCAGTTGCCAGCACCATAAAACACTTACCAAAAAAACAACCAGTCAACATCCTAAAGGTCTTAAAGGCAATCAATATGATTCCCCTTTACAATACCACTGCTAGACAACTACATTTCGTAATCCAAATGCTGCTGGACATTTAAAACTAAAAAACACTCACATTTTTAACAACTCCGACAATGCTGACTGCCGAATAGCTGCAGCGCAAAAACATGCCAATATTTCGTAAGAGCTTATTACAGAAAAACTTCAACAGGCAATGCAAATAACAATTTTTCTCATTAACAAATCAAAGTATAGCTTTAAACCTATGAGATTCAAAACTTTTTCTTACCATGGTCAAGTTTGTTGGCAGCAACAATCTTCTCCCCATAGTCTATAATACTTGAGCACTCAATCTGTGGAGACAATGAACCAATTTCTTTAGAACAAAAGATGCGTAAAAAGTGAGATACAGGAACATGATGAACCTTTGAGAATCAAAAATGATATGGGGGAGGGATGAAGTGTGCTTCACTACTCTGTGAAAGTCAAAACTCTATATATAAATATACGAAGGAGCAATAACAGCAAAGTTCTAATTTTTTTTAAAGAAAAAAAAATTGCTGCACCATACAATACATCATCACAAAGTATAAAGTTATAACTTTCTCTACGCAGTATGAAACATCATAAATATAATATACAATCTCCCCCCCCCCATGGCAAAAATCATATCAATCCCCAAATATTACCCCTGACTACTGTTTTGTTTTATTCCTTTTTAAAAATCCTGCACAGACAAACTGATAACATGTAGCAGCCTGTACAAAAACAATGAAGGACCTGACTTTCAGGAGCAAATGTGCTCCCTCACAAGTGTGTCTTGATACAATGTCTACATTTGCTCTATGAGAATCAAAATACTTCCTGGCAATAACTTCAAAGCAGAATGGTCAAGCTTGGAGCTACAATAAGCAAAGGAAAAGAAGTAGCAAGCAGAGGAAACAGTCAAAAAATTATTGCTGCCCCTGATGCTGCAACTCTCTGAAGACAAGCTGAAGATTGATCATCACTGAAAACAGAAACCTCAGTGTTTCATAGTGCAAGTAACTAACCTATCATCAATAAATATTTACTGAGACAGTCCGAACAAGAAATTGAAAAGAAAAAAAAAAAGAAAAAGAAAGGAAGATGGAGAGGAAGAGAAGATATATTACTAACTACAATGACGAGAGTATAAGTAAAAATCGTGCACTGGATTGTATTATAAGAAGAGCCTTTATCTTACCCCAATCACACGCTTGGCCCCAGCCTTGGCAGCAAACATGCACAAAATGCCTGTGCCACAACCAACATCCAGCACCACTTTGTCTTTGAACAGATGCTTGTTGTAGTACATGGAGTTTCTGTAGGTCAGTGTTCTGACTTCATCCTTCAGCATTTCCTGAAAGACATGCATCATGAATGAAATTACAGGAGAGAAGAGAGCTCATCCGTATAGTAAATATCCTATCATCAAACATGAAAAGATCAAATTGTGGGTCTCAAGTCTTAACTCACTGATACCAGGGGTTGAACTATTTCAAGGGTTGAGAGGGCAAGGGTGATGTGTTGCATCACCCCCAGATGCTCTCTTCACTTAGAATATTCGTTGCTGGATAACAGTTTTAAGTAAACAATTTTCAATTATAATTTTTATGTTGTGTTTATGGAGTTGAAACTGTATTTTCAATGGGTGTCAAATTTTTGTTAGTATGATTATTTAAAATTTGGACTAGAACTAACCCGAGGAATTACTTGAGCCACTGTTTGAGGAAAAGCATGAAGCAACTTGAAAGTCAAAGACGCCAGTTGTTTTACCCTAACTCTTCTCAGCCAAATGATACACTCCACCTTGCTTTTAGTAACCTCTGTCCGCCACACTAACATAAAGTGTCTTGTTTTTCACCTCCCTTCATCAAACACAATTTTCTGTCCAGTCCTCCAAATCCACAGGTTTTTTTTTATTGGTCAAGATAGAAATAGACATGATGATACTTATTTTAAGATAATTTGATGCCTGAAGTCAATATTTAAAAAACAACTTTAAATGGGTACGATTCCCTTCCACAGGCGAGTTCCCTGAAACCGACAAAGTATTTATAATATCACACAAGAAAAGCCATATACGAAGACATACCTCATGAATACCAAAGTGAGCATACGAATCAAAGTAATAATCTTTGGAGGTCATTTCGTCGGCAGCAACATGACCATTGCTTTTGCCTTTTTCTGGGGAGCCATCAGGGGTCATCTGGGCGTTGGTATTGAGATTATCACCTGAACTGCTTGATGGAACTGTCTGGAACACAAAGAGAAAAGGACATCCTATTGAATGGCTATGGTTCTGACAAAAAATTTTAAAATCTAATGTGAAAAGAATAAGGATTATGGGTACAAACAACTTCTGGCATTTTACATAGGGCCTACATTTTCAGTAGCTTTATGGAATCTATTAAATACAAGAACAAAGGAGAACTGTTTCATATACTTTTTCTTCTAATTTGCTCAGGCTCAGTCACAGCAGGCCTATTTCCATTCTAAAAATTAGATCATAAGAAAGACAAGTTTTAAACCATTGCCTTTACGTCTGTAACTTTTGGGCCTTTGAATAATGATCATGATTTATTTGTTGAGGCATGTCACTGTCTGGTATCACACTGCAGATCTACATGAATTTATAGTGAAATTGGGCGCAACCCTGGTCCTGCGGGGGCCGGGACTATGTCGCCCAATAAGCCTATTTCCGCACCTCGCCTGCCTTCTAGTCCCGCGTCAGTCTGGCCCAGCGCGCGCACGCACGCCGAGCATCATCTCCCGTTCAATTCGGGTCCCGGGTCGGATCCCCATTCACGCAGGTCAAGTGTGTGCGCGTCAGTCTGCTTGAGTTTGTGTGCGTTTGTGGCCTTCTCCAAGAACCCAATGCATTGGTTCGTAACCGAGGCATACGTCTCATTCAAAACACGCCAAGTTGGTAGCTCTAGATGTTCGTCCAATCAAATTATAGAAGAAATTGACCCACTTTGACATGAAGAGCTAGAAAGGATAGTCAGGAAACAAGACTTCCATTTTTCTATACAAAATCTTTCAAATGAGCTTGATTTTGTATGAAATGATACTAGAATTACCTGAGACATAATAAGCTTGTTTGATAATTTTGAATACCATTGTGCAGGTAGGCTACAAAAAACAATTTGAGTGCAAAACATTCGGAAATTGACCTTTATTATTTACCCCCTTTTGAACCTCAGGTCATTCATTATGACAGCAAGAGCGTCTAGAAAGATTATTCGAATGGGCGTAACTAGATCTACTCGTAATGTCTTATCAGCTTGAGAGGGGGTTATTCATGTGTTTGTAACACTTTATAAATAGAAAGCTATGAAAGATAGAGTGTTATTTTCATTATCGATTAACACATTACACCCTAACCCGCCCGAGAATTCCCTTACGTACTTCACCCTGACTCGCCCGCGCCGACCCAGCGTCTTTAGAAACGAAATCTCGCTTTAGCGAGACACTGGGGCCGAGGTTTTGATTTGCATAGTTATTGTAAAAAGTTTCTTTCATTTGATACCGAAACGAAATTTTTCGGGGCAGTAGTTTTAGTATTAGAGCCGAACGAAGTGCGATCGCTTCACTTTGAAAGTGTCTCGACTTGTTGAAAACCGACACAATTGAGTTCGAATAAGGAAATAACGATGGATTTGAGCAGAAACAAGCATATGGCAAATCATATGACTCAGATTTTGATGAAAACGTAGCAAGAGTTTGGGGCGATTCGGATTGATCAGACATAGAAAATCTAGAATTTAGATCTAGATCTATAGCCCGACCCCGGGGCTGAGAGTGAGAGTGACGGGTCGGACACCCCAATTGAACTAAAGTTACGTTTCCAACAGTTTGCGCAGACTTAAAGTTATATTTTTCTGAAACTAGATCTAGATCTACATTCAATTTGCGATTTAACTTTTATTTTTTCAGGATTTTTGGAATCGAAGTGTATACAGACCCGGTAACCGGGAACAAAGTATACAGACCCGGTAGGGGAACTCTTTTGTGATTTCGGAGGGTTTCAGCACCCAGACCCGGTAGTGTGTGTGTGTGTGTGTGTCTGTGTGTGAGTTAAAGAGAGAGAGAGAGAGAGAGAGAGAGCGCGCGCGCAGGGGGAAGTGCTAGCAAAATGTACATAATATGACACGTCTGCCAGTTGGCAGGAAGGAACGAAAGACAGAGACAAACAAAGAAAAAAAGAATGCGAGCGATACAGAGAGAGAGAGAGAGAGAGAGAGAGAGAGAGAGAGAGAGAGAGAGAGACTGCCCGATTGAAATTATGACATTATTCTTTTCTTCAAATTGTGATTCCTCTAACTCCAAAACAGGGGAAAAACGATCGTTCATCGAAAAGACATCCGCAATCTTCATTTAGTTTTAGATCTAGAATCTAGATCTACAGTCTAGATCTAGGCTAGCCTTGAAACTAGATCAATGATTTATATCTGTCTGTCTAGATCTAGAAGAACCTAGTCCTACCCTGAGCCAAGAGGGTGCTGAAAGTTTCCGAAATCACAAAAGAGTTCCCCTACCGGGTCTGTATACTTTGTGACTTTATTCCCGGTTACCAGGTCTGTATACACTCCCTTTTGGAATTTGTTTAGTAATTATAAAATGTGTTTTTTAAAGGCCTGTATTCACGGGAGGTGGGTTCTTTCCCCTTGCTTAGGATCTAGGAATGGACCTCCCGTCCAGGCCCTTAGGGTGTAATGTGTATCACACTCGGTATTCATGGCGAAAACACACATGTCATCATACTGTTTCCCGGTCACACACTGAGTGACCCTGGCTGCCTGCCTGGAACGTCCGGCGTAATCGGTTGCAGAAAAGATTCGCATCTCAGCATTGTCGCAGTACAAGAGTAAACACAATCCCACGGTACTCAGGGCGAAAACACACGTCTCCAGGTGCGCTCGCTACTGTAGGCTTGTAGTAAGTTGTAGGTCTACACTACACTACTTACACTTACAGTAGCCGTGCCGTAGGTAGAATCAAGGCTGGATCTACACGCTGTGTGACCCCAACAGCCCGTCCGGAATGTCCGACGTAATAGGTTGCTGATAAGATTCATATCTCAACACAGACGCATGACAAAAGTTAATACTTGCTCTTCTTTTTTACCGTTTTTACTCTTGGTCCTTGGCCCTTGGCTACCATTGACCAATCAAGTCCCAAGATCAGTCAAGATCTAACAAGATTGAAAAAGCATTTGGAGCTGGTAGACGTTCTGTAAATGAGTAATTAATTATCTGGGATTTATTATTTGTCAATATTTTACTGTAAAATATAAAACAAAAGATTAAGTTTACTGGATAAAGTGCGCACGTGTTCAAAGCATGGCAATTTGAATGAAGGTTTCGTTCATTCCCAAAGAGATCTGGGGAGGGAGGGGGGGACCACGAATTTGGTCTTTATATTGAAAACAAAGGTAATAAAGACTGCGGTCTAATCAAACAATATATCAGTTATATAAAATAGCATAGCAAAGAAAGAGAAAAACAAACACACTTGATAAGAAGGCGTTAAAGTAAAGAAACACATAAACACGATGTTACCTCCATTGTGTCAGCCATTTTGAAAACAGTGTAATGACCAGGGAGTTGCCGCGATTAGACCAACGAAAAAGGAGAACAAAGAAAATGTGAAACTGTGTTTACGTACGAGTTCATTTTTTGAAACACAAATATCCGTTTGAACTTGTAAATAGCATAAACACAATTTAGGTAGCATTCAAACTACAAGATTTGTTACATGCTTTTTGTGAACTAAAGTAATTAAATATTTATAAAACAACTTTGCAGACAACCTGGCATACTGTTTTCAGGAGCGGAGGGAAGGGCGATAAAGTGATGGGGAGAAAGAAGCAAAGAAGTTTTCGAGAGGGATAGGCCAACCGGCAGCTTTGTGGTTGACAGGAAGTTCAGAGAACTCAAACCTCTTTGAGTTTGAGAGAACTTTGGGCTAGGCCCACAAAAGTGTAGAATTCTGTTGCTAGGCCTAGCCTACATTACATAGGCCTACCCCCCCCCCCCCGTGGCAGTGTCACATTTTTAAGTATAATTTTCAGTAATGTTTGTTTTGGTTTCCAAATTAACAACCAACAAATACGTTAACAGTCTAATTAAAGCCAATATGACATTTTAAAAAAAAATAATGTTTGAGAAAATTGTTAAGATGCGAGTTGGTGAAAGACCAAGGTCAAGGAGGTAATAATTATTCCAGTTACTGAGTTAGGCCTACGCTTGCACAATGTCTTGTCTCGCACTCGAGCTACCCCT